TGTTTTTATAGACTTTAAACGTGCCTTTGAAACAATTGACCGTAATATTTTAATAAAAAAACTAAATAAAATTGGCATCTGTGATAATGTTTTAAAATGGTTTCAATCGTATTTAAATAACAGAACTCAAGTAGTAAAAATTGATAATTTGTTATCTAGTAAACTACAAAGTAAATATGGTGTCCCACAGGGAACAGTATTGGGACCTTTATTATTTATATTGTACATAAATGATATTGTAAAATGTATTACAAAATCTGAAATTTCTATGTTTGCAGATGACACCATGTTATATATTTCGGGTGATAATTTAGAAGAGTTGATGAATGTAATGAATGTTGATCTTAATAATATTTTTACTTGGCTTTGTACTAATAATATGTGTTTAAATGTTAATAAATCCAAATACATTATTTTGGGAACTAGTCATAAATTAAATAATTTAAGCTTAAATAACAAAAAACTTTTAATTAATGGTTCTGAACTACAAAGAGTAGATTGCTTTAAATATTTAGGTGTAATGATAGATAAAAACTTAAATTTTAAACCGCATATAGATTATGTCATGAATAAAATATCTAAAAAAATTTACTTTTCGTGTAGGATAGGTAATAGTTTGTCAAGGTATGTGAAATTGTTGCTATACAAATCTATAGTAGCTCCCCATTTTAATTTTTGTTCGTGTATTCTGTTTGAAATAAATCAGAATCAAAATAATAGACTACAAAAGTTGCAAAATAAGGCAATGAGGATAATCCTAAAATGTAATCGCTATACGCCTATCAAAACTATGTTAGATACTTTAAGTTTAATGAGCGTGAAACAATCTATTGTATTTAATTCTATGTTATTTATTTTTAAATTAAAAATTGGAGCTTTACCAGAGTATTTAAGTAACAGATTGATCAGGGTAGATGGTATTCATGATCATGGAACGAGAAGTGCAAGTGATTTTTATATTGAAAATTTTAGTCGACTGCAAACTACTAAAAATGTATTTGTTAATGGTCTGAAAATGTTTAACAAGTTGCCAAGTGATATTAAAAAATGTGATAATTTAAATAGATTTAAGTCACTATTAAGAATTTACATACACAGTAATATATATTGATTACATGTTTTTATATTAATTGTTGTATATTAGCTTTTGGTAAATAAAGATTATTATTATTATTATTATTATTATCTAACAGGCAGAGAAAGCGCTTATTTAATGCCGAGCTCTATGCTCGCTGCGCAATCTGCATATCTGAGCGAGGCAGTTAATTTGCTTTCTCCGCCGTGTTGTATATACTATTTTTTTTTTATTTTCATCATTTAATTATTCTGTATTTGCATTAAAATTATCGAGTTTAAGATATTTTGTCAGGTTTGACCTTTGGCATATGTTTTATTATAAGTTAGGCACATACATTTATTCTACCGTGACTTTTAGGTTTACATTTGCTGATTTCGTGCTAAACGCGATATTTTTATTATTGTACGGCGGTGTATAATAATTTTACTTTTGAACTGCATACAAAAATAAAGTCTTTTTATATAAAGGTTTATGAGTGTTATATGAAAATTTTAATTTTCAATAAATGACCTTGGGATTTGATTAAATTGTTTGAGCAGCCTCTCCACTGCCCCCCTTGACGACGCCCATGAATATTAGTACTAACAAACAGTTTAAATAAAATAAATAGGAAAAATAATACAGTGTACAATATTATTTTATTCGGAATTTAATTAAAAATTTGGGGGGTTTAATTGGCAAATACTAGGGACCCTAAATTTATAATTGGCTACATTGATTAAAACAAACTAATTTAGTGAAGAATATAATTGAATGGTGTTATACAACAGGGAACCTTCATTACTGCGGTCTTAATTATAGATTCAACGTTTTAAATTTATTTCCAAATCGCTAATTTAGTACTAAGTTTTTATTTCCTATAATATTTTTTTCATTATTTTTAATAAAATAAGTAAATTTGTTGGTTGGTCCCTTGTAGAATAAATAAAACTGATAGTTATTGCCTATTGTTTTATTATATCATGAAAACCATCATTTGGAATAAGTTGATAAATAGATTTTAAATCTTTTAATTTTAGTTAATTGGTTCATTTTTTTCCAACAAATTTAACTTAAACCAGATCCAAGTAGTATGGATCCTTGTTGCAGTATAAATATATTAGTCAAAAGTAACGTTAACCAAGCCGCTTGGCGATGTATAACCTTTCACAATTTCAATTTATAAGGAAAATTTGGCACAACCATGCAGCTTAAGAGGCCTATTCCCTTTCTTGCTGTTCGTAAACATCGATTTCTTAACATGTATGTTCACCCAACGACAACCCAAACATCACCTATATTTAAGGCTATTCCGTTTCTCATATGTTGAAAGTCTTGACCTTGAATCTTTCTGAACAGTGATAAATGTTTCTAGGACAGAGAGAACCTTTGTTTTATAACCTAAAAGTCGCAGATCGTAAACTCAAATTGTGTTAGATAATTATTTTAAAAATCATTGGTGATATTAATTATATTAAAGGAACTTAAAAACAACTTAGGGAAATCCACAAATTCTAAAAATACTTGGTAAAAACGTTTTATGCTGAACTAGCCAAAGCACAGATCTATCTTCCCTTATATGGAAAAGGGTAATCATAAAATATCTTAAAATAATTATTTGTTACTTATTTTTACACACTTTTTTTAGTGTATTGAAAATGGCAAGAAAACTACGCATTTCTCACATGGAGGGAGACTGGCAATGTCGGGGAGCCAGTAAAACAACTTAATGACTTTAAGGATAAATTACTAGCCCTAATAGAGGAAGCGCTGTGAAAGTTAGTGGTGGAGGGTAAGGTAGAGGTAATACCATCGTTGGAACTCTTCATTGACCAGCCTTTAAGTTCGGGTGGAAGGGCCCCTTCTACAACAGAGAGGCATAAAGAGAAAGTCCAACTCAAACTCTGACGAGTAGTGAAGGTGTAGAGGTTTTACAAGGTATTGATAAAACCTAAAAGATTTTAAAATTAAACCAAAAAGTTTTAGCTCCCATGTGAAGAAAAAGTGTTTTTAGATGCATATTTTATTAGTTATACTTTTCTTTGACTAATATTTTGTCTATATTTTTAAGTAATAATATTACCTACATAGGTATTTGATATTTTATAATTATTGTGTTTTTTTAATAAAGTATATTTTTCCAAGTTATTTTTTATTCTACCAATATATATAGGTATAGTTCTAGAGGTCGTTCTTAGACACTCTTGTAACATATAAGTCTTGACCTTCCTCCCCCCAAATTCTCTCTTCACACTCAGATTTTTTTAATTTTCTGTTTTTTTTTCTAAATAAATATTTATTATTATTATAATAAAATTAATATTAATTATATTTAAAAAATCAGTAAAGCAAAATTTGTATTCTGGTATTATAATTAGGAAATACATTTTAATAATTAAACAACAAATTATAAACATATTTTTAAAATTACCAAAAAATATATATTTATTTGTTTGGTGTGAAACCTTATATGATTTGTCCTATTCTCATTTATAAATAATTATTTATCATTTATAATTATAATTAATTAGGTATTAATTATAAAAAAGTAATTAATCCATAGTTACTATGCTTGATAATGATACTGTCCTGTATACTGTACCAAACATCGCCGCAATTTATGATTAATGCAAGATAAAAAAACTCAAATATTGTCTAACAGCACCTCTCAGGCAAGCGTTCGTAAACATACGTTTTTAAACATCATGTATGTTCACCAAACATCGAATTTTGGAAACGGAATAGCCATTTTAACACCGATGATGTTTATAAACATGGATGTTTAAGAAATTCTTCGAGCGCATGCGTCTATAGACGAAATAATTGAAAGGGAATAGGCTCATATGTTACGAAACATATGTAGTTCGTGAACATGCATGTTTAGCGAAAGGGAATAGGCCTCTAAAGCTTTATTGAGATTTAAAAACTCTGATTGCAGAGTTATATATTATTTTGAATATTTTAAATCAGTATATGTTCTATTTCTTTAAAATATTTTCAAAAGGTGGCCCTACATGGCCCCATCACGTTAATATATTTATCCCGCTTTTTTATTATGTTGCCTAACAAATATATATATTTACTAAAAAATAAACTTATTTAGTGAATATAAAGTGTGTATTAAAACGAATAGATACACTTAAATAAAACAAGTGCCAAACCCCGCCCACTGTGGTAGGGATTGAATGCGCAGGAATTTTTATGATAGGCTAGGATATTGTTTAACTGCTGCTGGTGGTCTATTTGAACATTTAATTTAGAAAAAAAGTTATTTTCGTTATTTTAGAATTATTTTTGTTTGAGAATTTATAGGTTTTATTTTTATCGAATTCGTTTGTTTTGTTTTAAGGCATTTCTGCAAATAAAAACTAAGTATTGTTTAAAATCCTTTAAATTCCAGTTAATGGCGAAAATATATTTCTTAAAAACTATACACATTTCCCTACGACAGCGTCGGAGCTACTGAACAAACACAGTAGATCAAACTGTATCTTGCCATATGCTATTATTGTTTCCTAAAAGGGTTGTTTTTCTTATTTTTTAATATTAAAAGTAAGAAAATTAACTAAATCAAATTATTTTTGACATATATTTTTCAAACAAATAAAATTGAACTATTTATTAAATAATTATAATCGTTCTCTTCTGATTTAAAACAACCTGGCAACTATGGTTCGTAATTACGAATGGCTTGGTTTAAACCACGCCCAATTAAAGTTTGTTTCTTTTTCTCTGATCAGAATATAATTTGTCATCCTTGTCTCCAGCCTTACTTACTTGATTCTATACAGTCTGTATTTACTAAAAAATAAACATATTTAGTAAATATAAATATATATTAAATAGAATAATTATGATACAAACGGCGCCTCATATATTGTTATTTTTATTTTTATTATTTTTAAAATATTTCAATTTTCAAATAAACTTTATTATTTAAAGAATGAAAGAAAGAAAAACCCCTCGTTTAACCGCAACTTTTGTTGTTTCAGACGCCCCGACTTGCAAATACGACCGCGTGAGTGTGGTGGGCGCGTCCCGCGGCGAGAGCGTCGACATCGTGTGCGAGATCGAGTCCGATCCGCCTGCGAAAAGCTACCGCTGGAAGTTCAACAATTCGGGCGAGACGCTGGACGTGGCGGCCGAGCGGTACGCGCGCACCAGCAACGGCACCTCGAGCCTGCTGCGCTACACGCCCGTCACCGAGCTCGACTACGGCTCGCTGAGCTGCTGGGCGGCCAACAGCGTCGGCCATCAGATCAACCCGTGCGTCTTTCAGGTCGTTGCGGCAGGTAAGGAATTCGCATTTCAAAATTTTAATAAGGTTAATGAGATTAAACAACACCAAAACTATTTAATTGACTAAACAACATACACTTACAGGCAGGGCCGGCAGCTTTTCATTTTGACGTGTGGTGCTCATCTACAGTTGGTTGGTAGCAGTGGTTAATGGATGGGGGGTGTTCTTTTCTTTAGGGGTTGCGGGAAGGAGAACAAAATAAAATTGGAATATTTTTTTAATCAATTTATTTATCAAAATCAGTAACATTTTATATACAGGGATATACTAATTTTAGCACTAATATATCCCCCCCGGAATGATTAAATTTAGTTTATATAGTTTTTTCGACAGTTCTTATTACGCGACATATTTTAAAGTTTTAAGTTAAAAAACTCACCCTGTAATGGAATCGAATGGGATAGGTATATTACTGCCACATCGGACGTTTTTAGGATTGGCACCTGCAACTTCTTGAATAAAGGTTTACCAGCATCAAAAATACGGGTTTAAAATAATAGTTCTAGATTTTTTTAAGAGAGACAATTAAAACAGAGTTAATCTAACTAACTTACCTTTGTTGATAAAAAGTCGGGTATGTATCCACTAACACAATTGGTGGTAGCAAACACGAACTCAGAGATAATAAACAAACCGCACGAACTGTAAATAATAATAATAATATAACTCAAAGTTTGGTCGGTTACCGTCGGTATAGTAGAAATACCCTAGATATACGTCGCGACGTGTCGGTATGTTATTCCTACTATACCAAGATACATACACTTATACATACTATACCGACCGACTTTGATACTTTAAACTTTGGATTCCTCAGCTTTAACCGTAACCCAGACTGCAATGAAGGTTCGAAAATATTCCAGGAATATTCCCTATCGCCTAGGAATAATCCGCTTCATTCTAGGAATATTCATTGGGAATATTCCTAGAATGATCCTCTAAAACTTCCAAGCATCATCTAAGAATATTCCCAGTGAATATTCATTAGTTTAGTTGCAATACCTCTCACCGTTGCTTACGCACGCTTGATAACTATATATACCGATAGGTCAATAATATTAGTTGGAGATGTGCGTCTGTGATGGCACAGCCAAACAATGATTAGAGTGGGACTTGATCTACTCAGTAACTCAATAATGGCTATACTTAAGTTAGGTTCCTGGGTATAAGAGGGAATAAGGGCTGGGAATAATCCCCAAATTATATCAAGGAATATTCCCCTAACAATCCTTGAGTCTTCTGCAGGCAGATATATGGAATATTCTTTTTATGATGCCTGGGTTAACCAAAAAGCGGACATTTGATTATGCCAGAAATATTCCTGGGAATATTCTGGGACGATTGGAATATTCCTGGGAATATTCCTGACATGTGCAGGGAATGTGATTTTGCAGTCTGGGAAATTTGTAGAGGGCGTTGGTGTGTATCCCAGGCTAGCAGGATAAAAAATGTAGAGACCGCAAAAGAAATGCAATTTTTCTGCTGATGATACGTGTGGTGCTGAGCACCACCATTTTCCTTTACGTGTGGTGCTTGAGCCCGCGAGCGCCGGCCCTGCTTACAGGCAAAATAATCGATCCACACAAATTTTCGATGAATTTCAATCGCAAATAACTTTTTTATTTGATTTCGGATTTAAACAAATTTTAAAGAATATTGTAGATACATTAATGGAGAATCGCTAGCTTATTAAAAATTACTAAAAAATAGACGTACAGTGGCGGACACGGAATTTCGAACATCAAATCTCTGTCATTTCAAAAAATTTGCAAACCTTACTTTAATTGCGGACAAGGAATTACGAACATTACATTTCTGACATGATGAAATTGATTTTTGTCATTTTTGACGTTTATATATTTTTTTTATTATTGACGTTTGTATTTTAAATTTGAAAGTGAATTTAAAGCGTCAACTTGACCACTGATATAGAAAATGCCAGCTGTATCTTACTTTAATAAAGTTAAAATGGTAACCCTTCTTCAGAGTGGCATGTCGTATGGACAAGTTTCGGTACATTTAGGTATACCAAAGAGCACCATACATGCAATTATGCATAAATGGACACTAACTGAATTAGTGGATCGGCGTCCAGGTTCTGGGGGTCGCCGAATATCTTCCGCTGAAGAAGACGAAGCGATCATAGATGTAATTAGGAATAATCCTTTCTCCAACGCCGTTCAAGCAGTCGGAATAACATATTTCCCGGGGTCAGTCAGAACTGCTCATCGACGAATAAAGGCAAGTGGCTTGCATAAACATGCGGCAGCAAGAAAACCAAAATTAAGGCCTTGGCATAGGGAAGCAAGAATTGGTTTCGCATTACAACACCTAGCAGAAGATTGTGCATTTTGGAGTCGGGTAATTTTCTCCGACGAAAAAACTTTTCAATCATGCCGGATCAGGGTATATAGCCCCCACAATACACGCTACAATGAACGATATGTTGATCCTGGGATAATACTGCTCGTAGAGGAGAGACTAACAACTATCTAAAAATGAAATAGTCAAAATTCTACTATTTGAATTAGTACCAGCATTTTTTACTAATAAAATAGTCGTTTTCACTTTTAAATAGTTATTTTTTACTACGTAAATAGTTAAAGTTTGACTAATTTAAGATTAGTTACCATATTTGACTATTTCTGACAGTTAAAAGTAACTAATTTCTTTAATCGTTTACGACCAACAACAAAGTATTATTTGAATTAAATGCATATACCTCTCCATGGTTAAATGACCCATAAAACAAATAAAGATGCAAAAAGTTTAGCTCAAAACAGTAACACAAATAATATATTAAACTTTAAAATATTATGAACAATATTTATTGACAAATAAAATTTATTTTTGTAAGAGCGGCTGACAGCCGACTGGTTATGAGGTTAGGTTGACAAGCTTCTCAAGTGACACACGTGAGTTCAATCCCAGGCTGGGTCAAAACTTTTTTTAAATTTAAATTTACTAATTTAACTATTTCATTCAGTGGAATTTGACTAATTATTAGTGACTGCTTTTTCGCTATGACAATTAGTCAAATATGACTTATAATTAGTTATTTTTGACTAATTCATTTTAAGAGAGAAGTGACGTTTATATGTGGAACTGCATTATCCTAACAATAATTTTGTTTTTAACAAGATAACTGATCGGTTCACACAGCACGGAGAGTAGCAGCATGGTTTCAAAATAATAATATAAACGTCCTTGATTGGCCTAGTCACAGTCCGGATTTAAATCCGATAGAGAATATGTGGGGATTAATGACAAAACGTTTAAAGGAGCGACGGATAGAAGTTCAAAATAGGGAAGAACTTGTCCTTGCAAAAACTGAAGCCTGGCAAGGGTTGCCATTGGATTACCACCGAAATCTATGTCTCTCCATGCCGACTAGATTGGCACAAGTTATTCAATCGAATGGAGCAATGACCAAATATTAGTTTACATATTTTTGTTTAGTTTAATTTGAATATTACAAAATTTAATTATATTGTATATTAAATTATTTTAATTGGTTGGTTGTCTTTGTGTGATTTTATAAATGGCAGATCATTAAATAAAATTTTGCTTTCGCTGTCAAGATGACGCGTCATGACTGTCCGGAAGTAAGGTTAGTTGTCAAACAGGCAGATTTAGATTTTGATGTCAAATGAATTATAAGTCGTTCAAAATTCCGTGTCCCCCACTTAAACAAAAAGATGGTTTTTACTATAATTTTAAGACACTCTGTAAAGTGGCTGAACCGTATATTGTTCTAAATTAAGTTTTAATTATCAAGTCACATCTTTTCTTAACAGTTTTGTTTTTGGTTCACCTCGATATATTTATTTTTGTGGAAAATATGATTTTTTTTTAAAAAACATTGCAATTTCTAATATTTTTTCTGTATAAAGAACTAAGGTTGCTATGGTCCATCCATATGCTATGAAGAATGACAGTGACAGTTTTCTTAAATAATCCCATACTTGGACATGTCATACACGGCTTTCAAAAGCTATCAAATTGTTTTTTTATAAATTAATGTGTTAATTTTGAGTATCTTTTTACTTTTAAAAATGTCTCCGGCTGATGTTGCCCTTTGTACTTTACTTCTTGTGATGTTTAAAACACTTGCCACGTAATACTGTGACCATCCATCCTGAATTAAATAAATGGCTCTGGCAACATCAGTCGGAGAAATATTTTTAGAATTAAGAAGACACCTCAAATTTTACACATTAATTTGTAAAAAACAATTTGGTAGCTTTCGAAAGCCTTGTATGACATGTTCAAGTATGGGATGATTTAAGAAAACTGTCACTGTCATCCTCCATAGTCTATGGATGGACCATAGCAACCTTAGTTCTTCATACAGAAAAAATATAGAAAATTGCAATGTTTTTTTAAAAAATCCATATTTTCCACAAAAATAAATATATCGAGGTGAACCAAAAACAAAACTGTTAAGAATAGATTTGACTTGATAATTAAAACTTAATTTAGAACAATATACAGTTCAGCCACTCTACAAAGTGTCTTAAACTTATGGTAAAAAACATATTTTTGTTTAAACCTGTATATTATAAACGTACCTACGTCTATTTTTAGTATTTTCTTTAATATTCGTTTAAATCCGACCTCAAATAAAAAAGTTATTTGCGATTGAAATTCATAGAAAATTTGTGTGGATCGATTATTTTGCACGTGAGTGTATTTAATTGACTAAACAACATATTTTAGATATTTGCAATAATTTGGCATTAACATTTTTTTAACATACGGGTGATTCTACAAAAGTTGGACAACTTGATGTCATCAGTCAATAGAGTAGGTATTTTAATATTTTTTGCGAATATTTTAGTATATTACAAAAGATCCAGGTTTTTTTAACTTGTCCACCCAATTTTAATGTATTTTTTCAAAAGCACGTTTGTAGAAAAACATAATAAACATTCAAAACATCAGTACCTTGGCGTGTCACAACTCCTGAATCAAATATTTGAGTGTTTTTAT